ATAAAATAACTAACTTAGTAATTTTAGAGGATTACTAAAGTATTTAAAGAAAAATATTCCTTTTCCACCCCCGACTTTCGACTAGTGGCTATATAGTGAATCCAATATTTTTACATTGTTATATGGAGTTGAATAATATCCTACCTGCTGAGATGAAATTTTAAAGCAATTGCTTTAATCCATTGACCCGCATAATTATTTGTTGTTGGAATTTTTACACCAAAAGTAAAAAATATCTAAAATCTAAAAATCTAAAGTGTTATCAAATGGACAGTATACCCTTATACGAACGTCTTCTAAGAGTATCTTTTATGATCATGAATAATGCAATCCTGTTATATACTTAAAATTTGAAGATATATTTAAGAGCTTTAAGATGATTCTAGACGAGTGTTTCACACTGGACCAGCTGATAATTTTGCTCCACGGTGGGGGGATTGAACCTGCGAGCTTTGCTTTGCTAGCCCAAGGCTTTACCAGCTTAGGTATAGGAGCTCAAGTCAATTCGAGTAGGTGATATTTCGTAACTCAGTCTAGTTCCTTCGATATCTGCATGTGCAGATATATTTTATGATCATGACTATGATCATGGTGTTATATATGCACTCTGGTGAAGTTATATCTAGGACGATGCTCTCTGAGAGTGTTTCGTTTTTGCACACGTAAAAACGCACAACCCTTGCAGCAAATCTGCCGCAAACATGTGCCAATGCAGTTTCAACGACCAATTATCAAGATATTTTCTGGCACACTGCTTGGTTCGAGGTGGTCGAGAAGTCGCCAACGACTTGTTGACTTTTATTTGTGACTATGTTGTTGAACTGAACTGAACTGAACAGTTATAAATTGTCACTGAACACGTTGTGAGTGACAAAATTGTAGCAACTAATTTGACAGAATAAGAGCATTGTTAGAACATGTTAAAACTTGCTACAAGCCTGTTGCAAACACATCTTAATATCTGAGGTGTGCGATATTTACGAACTGTCGTTTAGAGCAGCTACTCAGTGCTCTATCGCCAGGTCCGTAGCTAAGCATGCATAGTTGGGGGTGTAGCCAAAAATTTCCGAATGACGAAAAAAATTTCCGAATATTTCATGGCAACGAAGTCACGGAGGTGTTTGTTATCCGAAAAATGAAAACGCAATTTACAAACAAAAATAGGCACAGGCATTACAGAAGCGTGCAGTTCCGTACAGAAGCGTGCAGTTCTGTAGAAAGTTCTTTTTTATAGGGGGTGGCGAGGGCCCAAGGCCCGAGAAAATTTTTTAATTTGGGGTCTCTGAAATGCCATTTCGTTGACTTTGGGGGAAGTTTTGACAGAATTCTGATGGTCAGAAAACAGAGCTTTAGCACGTCGAAATTTACAATTAATTTGCTTACAATTTAGAAGAACTAAATGGCGAAGGCGTATACGGGTAATACGATTCTTTGCGGTTTGTCATGGGTAATGTAGCCGCTTAAAATTAATCAATTGTCAGTATTTTAAAGATATATCGAGGGCTGTCCCCCCCCCCCGTTGCTACGGCCCTGGGAAGTAATAAACCGAAAAACATTTACCGATCTACGATTTGTTAAATGTTATCCAAGTAAATGCCGTGATTTTGTAAATCAGTTTATGATGCTGACAATACAACTTTATAATATTTTCTCTGTTTAAACAACTAAAATTTTGTTATACTATTACTGCCGTAATTTTCCGAATGACCAACCTGATTTTCCGAATATGTTAATTCTAAAAAAGTTGGGGGGGGGGGGTTATAACCACCTCCCCCCCCCCAATACCCCCCTTCGCTACGGCCCTGTCTATCGCTGTTTAACATGACTGAATTTTGTCCTGGAGTGAACACGTACTTGAGCTCACATCTTGTTTTTTTATTTCTAAGTCAACCAGGCCATCTCCACCCCCTTCTCTATTTACCCCCTACCGCGTAAGTTGTTATTTTGAGAGCAGCTGGCCTCTTGTTTATTTTTGTTATTATTATTATTATAATAAGTTCTTTCTTTCCTCATTGAATCATTGAAATATGCAAACTCTTAGTAATCTACTTTACATTCTCCTCCCTTTGATAGTTGATCATGCATGCGGTACTTTGTTCAAATGCTGACATGGTTTGAAAGAATCTTTACGTCTTTTCAACACTCCATCAGGGCCGCCCAGAGGGGGGAGGGGGGGGCAGGGGGGGGGGAATTGCCCTGGACCCCGAGTTGCTGGGGGGCCCTGAAAATTTTTTGTTGGGCCCCAGCCTTTTTTGTGTGTTAAATATTTCCGCGCAAAGGACAAGATATCTGTTTTCTTGGGCTAAGTACCGAATTTTGGCATAAAAAAAGAGATAAAGTCGCTCGAAAGCAATTGCAACGTACTCGTCCGGAGGGCGGGGGGGGGAGGCGGGGGACGTTGTTCTCCGGAAAAAAAATTTTCCGGGAAAGTTTTTTTAGATAGGGGCCCCTAAAAAAAAATTTGCCCCGGGCCCCCGCCAACCTCTGGGCGGCCCTGACTCCATAAATTCGACAGCGTTGTTTGAGTTCTCCCAGTTTTTACTCATAAATCTTTTATTTACTTTTAGATTCCTTTAAGACATGGCTTCGAAGGTTGTTTCCATTATACTAAAGATTATCGAAATTGTAAGATGAAGATTGTTTAATCCAAGTTGTTAAAATTTCGTATAAATCTTTCTTGTGCGGCTTTAAATTTGCTCATTTTAATTAAATTCCAATTTTGCGCACTGACAAAACGCCTTCTTTTAGATTAACAGTTGGCTCAAATAACGGCAGTTGCAAGAAGCCACACACACGTTATAACGCACAACGCTTGTAACAAATTCAAGGCATTTTTAATACCATGGAATGGTGGGGCATTTTCCCCACCGGGCCCCTTCCTCTGCCCCACCACTGAAGAAAAAAATGGCCTATTGCCCCAAGGCCAGGGCCCTAGGACCTGTATTGAGTAAATGAGTTTAACATTGAAAAGAAGTTTAAAAAACAAAATTTGTTGGTGAGCACACTTAAACTTATGTTATGTTTGAATGTTTAGCATGCCAATTTATTACAAATTTCACCATTATAAAACTTTGTTTTGAGAAGCTGAGATTTTTTTAAAAGTTTTTTTCAGAATGCGGGAAATGCTATTTCAGAGACCCAAATTTTAAAAATTTGCTGGGAGGGGACACGCCCCCAGCTTCAAGCCCCTAGCTAACTGAGCGATCTCATTCTATGCTGGGGAACAGGGCCTTTTTTAACATACAAGCTGGGGGGGGGGGAGCAAATACCCCCAGACACCCTTGTGCCCCCCCACACGATATCACATTTTGCCCTCCAGGAAAAGTCCCTTTTTCCTAATTTTATACAAACGAATTAAACCACTGAAACCAGAGAAGAATAACAAATAGGAAAACGGATGTTTTAGGCTTTAACCTTTGTCCTTGTTTAACACAATCGATTTAAATTGTTACGTTTTTCTGCCACTAAGTAATGATAAATTATTGCTAATTAATAATTTTGTTTATATTTTGTGTGTTTTTTCCTTCTTTTATTTCAAATACAATATTTTGAATGCTCAGAATGCAGCAAATGGCATTTTTGGGCTTCAAATTTCAAAAATTTTCTGCGGAAGTATATGCCCCCACACACGTGGTCTTCAGCCATTGCTATCCCCCTCTAATAAGTAATGATAAATTATGGCTAATATTTTTTTTAACTTTTTTGCGTTTTTTTCCTTCTTGCATTTCAAATGAAGTATAGTTAGCATAAATTTTAAAGCAAATTTGGATGTTCAGAATGCAGGAAATGGCATTTCCGGGCTTCAAATTTCAAACATTTACTGCCGGAGCTGAGTATACCCCAGACCCCTATTCATGCGTGGTATGTCGGCAAAACACGGAAGAGATTATTTCGCTGGCCCCTGAGTGACAAAACATAACAAAGCAACGGTTTTACTAACACTATCCCTACTCCAAACACACTCTAAACCAATCTTGAAAAAAAAGTTTTGACGAAATGTCATGCTGAGGTCAGCGAAATAGTTGATGCCGCAAAACACGCATTGCTATCCCCCTCTAATATATTATCTCCCAGAAAGGTCACTTTTCAAAAAAGCCCCCCCCCCCACGGGAAAATCGTTAAAAAAGCCCTGCTGGGGGAGGCAAGGAAAATGGGCCCTTTGGCAATTTGCCCCACCACTGAAGAATCCTTAAAAAATGCACTGAACAAATCTGCAGCAGGCTTGTATACAGTGTACAGTACATTCCAATTAATACTGTATACCAATGCATGCAGTTTCAATAACCAGTTTTAAAGTTAATGCACCATGGCCAATTCGTTAATATAAGCAGATATTCTAAGACAATTGACATGCCACACACAATGTTGTGGGAGAAGGGTTGTCGAAGAGAAATGCTCCGATTATACTTTAAACTGTGGCCAAAATGTCGCCCCACATATAGTAATGTACGTCTATTAATCATTAACGGACGTATTACGATTAGTTTATATTTAGAATATTGACATTTCAGTGTTGCAGTAGGCGGTGCCAAATTTAAAACAACAATCGACAGTGGCCCGACAATAAATGTGATCGATCGTGACACTTTTAACAAAATGCAAGTCATAAAATAAACTCGCACGAACACCAAAGCTTATATACAGTAGGAATAACAGGGGACCAAGAATTGACCCCTGTGGTATTCCACTAATCAGGCTTGACTGTGAGCGATTGGATAAGTATACCGTAACAGTTAGGTTTATTTAATATGGTGTCCCATGTCCGCCAAAAATCAACTTTTGCATTTCACCATATCATATTTTGAGGATCATATTCATTTTATTAAAATAACAACATTGTTTTTGAAGATCACCAGTTTATCGGTTGAAAACACAACTTATTTTTTGAAGACCAACTTTTGATACCCAACCGCAATCCAATGTATTTTTTGTTCGCGGGCTCATATTGCCGTGATTTCCCGCTAAAATCATCTCTGTCTGAAACACATGTTTATCAAACAATGGCGGAGTTGAATCAGGTTAGAGCGACACTTCTGAAGGTTGCTGACCAAATATCGGCCTTAGGGAGCAACAAATCTTCATCAGGTAAAGTACTAAAGTAATTAAACTTTTTATATATTGAGTGTTTTATTTTCCTTATCCATTTTGTACAGGCTGGCCCGCTTTAATATGTAAATTCAAGAACATGAATTATTCATATACTGTACAATGTACATGATATGTATTATATAAATAGTTAATTATGATTTTAATATGATATGGTGTTGGCGGCTCGTATTTGACTTTTGATCAGGTTAGATTGCAGAATACCCCTCCATTTTCTACATTACACAGTATTAAAGTTGTTGTATTGTTGGCACTTGTTGCAATTTTAGTTGCGATTTTTTCCTGCACTATACTGTAGGAAGCAATTTTGTATTGGGAGGACTGATATATATTTAATAGTCAGGAGCGATTATTTAAATTAGGTCATTATTTTTCTCTCAAACTTTACAGTTTATTGCTAGTTTACAAATTATCATGCAACCCTAATAAAAAAGTAGCATTATAATGGTCAATTTATGATAAATTCTTGATGTATTCACTTAAAAATAGAGACAACAAGTAGCAGACCACCTGAGAGTGAAGCAACAACAAGCAGTTCTTCCAGTACTGCCTCCAATGCTGCAAGTGAGCACAGGCGACTTTTCAACTTTGGGAAAACTCGTCATTTAGTTACCAAAAGCAAAGGCAAACAAAGTACGAAGGGCAAGGGAAAGCAACCTGCAACAAAGTTTAAATTTGTTTGTCTTGCGGATAGCACAACCAACTGCCCTCCTTTATCTGTGAAAGAAAAAACTGATCTTTGTAATGCAGGACTTGGTGATACTACAATACTCTTGGAGCTGAATGATAGCAGTGTATATCTTCATGAAGAAGTTCTGAAAACCTTTCCCAAACTCAGTGATACAGGCGGTTATGAACTGTTATTGCACCAGAGAGGAGGCGGGGAGAATGGAGGATTTCATACAATCAAGCCCCCGCTCTGCAGTTTGCGACTGAAGGATGTCTGTGGCAAAGCAAAAATATATGTAAGGCCTTTGCAAAGAAATATCCCTCTTGATTCCTTTGATGATGAAATTCCAGAAGAGGAAAATGAGGTATATGTGTGATATATTATTTCGTATATATGTTGCTTTTATAACTACCATTACAGAGTGACCTACCTGCATTCACCACTTTTCCTCACAAAACTACCAGATGGACAAGTTCTGATTCCCAGAACTATTTTTTAGATTTTGTAAGATTGCCATGTGATAACACTGTTTCTGAATTTATTGATTATGCACTTTTGGTACTTGGTGTATAGGGGTCAGTTGGTTCCCTCAGAAGGGTCCGGGCTATCTTGGCTTTACTATAAGCTCACTATAAAGGAGGCCCTGAAAAGAACCTTGAAAGCAGGGGCCCAACAGGCTTTACTATATATAAATAGTGTTTTATGTAAAGTATTCAACTACGTATATTTACTTATTTTGTCCCAATAAATGATCGTAAAAATCAGTGCCAATTATATTTTACACAAAATAGCAAGCAGGCGCTTGCAACCTGAAATCTCTCAAGCAGAAATTCGCCAATTTCAGTATTCAAATGTAGCACATAACAATTATAACATTTATTTACTATTTTTCCTTATAAATAGAAATTCAATAAGTATTTTTAAATTTCTCCAATAAAGCATTCTAAATTAACAATGGGGAAATATGATCAAACTTTCCTGAATCCCTACAAATTCAACAAGCAAAATTTTAAATTGTTTTACAATAGTTTCTTGATGCATGTTTTTTGTATTCCTTATTGTTACTGTCATGAACTCTCTTATGTTATCTTGCATTGAACACAGCTCCCCCTGTCCCCCCATGTTAAATATACTGGGGAAATATGTTTTGCCCCCTCCCACCCATGCACCCCCACCCATGCACCCCCACCCACCCAAAGAAAAATGTTTTTAGACATAAATTACTGAAAATGTGATTTTGTAAGGATGGA